AAACCGTCCTTTAAACTTCCCGCCTATAACCCCTTCCTCTGTTACTAATCCCTGGCATACCCACCATGGACACCCTTGTTGAAATGCCACTTTTTCCTCCATTTGATCTAAATGTCCTTTTGTTAATCGCTGCTTTGGCCCATTTACTCACCCAGTACTCTTTCCCCTTTTAATGCCATACATTTAATCATCAGCATACCCCCCATTTTTATCCTTTTTGTAACTACACCTTTCTATAGTGCTTCATGACCTTTGATGACTAGCAGATTTATTTTGCTTTTTAACCATTAACGGAAGTGTGTTTTCGCTTACGTAATTGAAACTATACGGTTCCACATGCAGGGTACACTGATCCAAGCAAGCAAGCACCAGCGTAGTTTATATATATAAAGCAGGATTTGCTGAGAATGCATTGTGTAGACAGGAAATAGGGGAAATTTTTGCAGTACGTCTCTTTTATTGAGTGAAGGAATGTTTGGCTATTTTATTATTGGCAGGTTAGTAATAATTAATTGAAGTACAACAGTATTAGATAGATTGCATTCAGTCAGTCATCACCAGTTTGGCGTGTGCATTTTGCCACGTAAAAACAGATACATAGCATATATATTGTGTATATATACGTATGTTTCCACGGGTGTGTGAGTGGGTTGGTGTGGTGTGTGTGCATGTCTGTGTGCGTGTGTATGTATATATGTATGCTTATCTATTTACATGTTTGTATACATGTATGGATATATAAATGGATAGATTGATGGATGTGTGTGTGTGTGTGTGTGTGGATGAGGTGTATGTGTCTTGTGAGTATGGTGTCCTGTGATGTATATGTGTATACACGTTGCTTATTTAGGTTTGGAGTTTGTGTTCGTCTTTCATATATGTAAGTGCCACTCCTATCAACACATGTATTTGAAGAGTATGCCTGTGCACAAGGAATGCATACAACGTTTATTATAGTTATTGGTTTCGTAGAGAAATTTGTATGATTTAAGTTCGTCCATCACATTTCACAGGGATCAAGACCTCATGGGTGAAGACGCTAACCGAGAAGACCTACTTGTCCCGCAAATGCCACATGATCCCCCTGGAATGGGTCACACGGAGAGTCGCCACGGGGTCCTTCCTGCGCCGCCACCCGGGGGTCGCCGAGGGCTACCGCTTCACGCCGCCCAAGATGGAGACTTTCTTCAAGGTTATAGCACGTCCCCTGTGATAACATCTAGAGAGGAGGATTGAATTGGAGAAACTTTTCTTAGATGTGATCTTGATAAGATTTATGTATCAGATATGTAATATATGTTTGTCAAAGTCAACTTTATTTTTCTCTTTCCAGAGTATTTTTTTCTCTTTCCAGAATGAATGGTCATGTAATTTTCTCTCTCCAGAATAAATAGTTTTGTCAAATTGAACGGTTTCTCTCTTTCAGGACGATGCTAACCATGACCCTCAGTGGAGCGAGGAGCAGGTCATCGACGCCAAGCTGGATATTGGGGGCGTGGTCATCGGTCGCCACGAGTATGACATCATGGCGAGAACCACCGTGACCGTGTTTGAGGTGCTCGAGCGGGCGTGGGCAGCGCTGGACTGTGCCCTTATCGATATGAAGATTGAGTTTGGCATTGACGCTGAGACCAGTAAGTTCTTGCTTTTGAGGATATTTGGAGAACTGGGACGAAATTACCTAGTTTTCTGATAGTGATAATCTGTCACATTATTCGAGATGTGGATTAATGGCAAGAAAAAATGAGGGGAAGTGGATTCATGGGTGTTTTTTGTTCCATCTTGCAGAAGAAATTCTCGTGTCGGACACCATCGACTCCGATTCGTGGAGACTTTGGCCTTCTGGTGACAAGAGGCTGATGAAGGACAAGCAGGTAGTGTATTGTCATATTTTGGGCATTACTTTTTACGTGCCTGTGCCGTGACTCTAAAGAAACTAATAGGCGCGATTTCGTTCCATTACCGATAAATACCTTCGTTACAGGTTTACCGTAATCTCGAAAGTGTTACTGAAGCGGCTCTTGATCAGGTGAAGAGGAACTTCCAGTGGGTTGCGGATAAGCTTGATGACTTTATACCAAAACCAAAAGGCTTGGTAAGCAAGCGTTCATTTGTTTAGAGACCAGAAGATAAAGTTCGTCTTTTTGCCATATTGTGTAAAAACGATTTTTGTTCTCGAGTTATCAAAATGTTGCAATTATCACGCATTCATTTTTCATAAATTCGGTATTAACAATAGGTTGTCGTGTTGATGGGCTCCAAATCTGATGCGCCACACTGTGAAAAGATTCGAGACCACTGCAAGAAACTGGGTGTCCCTTGCCAACTCCGCGTGACCTCTGCTCACAAGGGCACAGAGGAAAGCCTCGCCATTATTGCACAGGTAAGTGAAATGTAAATGTAAAAATGAAGAAATAACAATGAAAGACTCTGCAAATATGCAAATAAACTTCAGTATTCGATATTACACTGACATTATTAATTACAGTACGAGGGTCTTGGAATCCCACTGGTGTTCGTAGCTGTTGCGGGTCGTAGTAATGGTCTGGGCCCAGTTACCTGTGCTAACACCTGCGCACCTGTCATCAATTGCCCGCCCCTCAAGCCAGAGGAACTCTCCAGAGATGTATGGTCGTCCCTTAACCTTCCGTCAGGTAAGTGAAAATGTAGAGGAAGTCTCGCTAAACTGATTACTGTAACATGGACCCTGTTACACGTATGCATGTAAAGGAGGATATAGAAATGTGACGAATGAATGTATAGGAAGATTTATGACAATTTCGGTTGTATTCCAAAGTATCAGCATTAGAGAGGAGGCCCTGGTCGTTAGAAAATGCTTAAATTACTTGTTTTTAATGCTGAGTTGCATATTAAGTTTTGAAGTTCAAAATAATCGCTTATGGATCGTTAGAATGATCACTAAGTGCTTAGTAACATTTTAGTTGTATAGATTGTCTATTTTAAGAGGAAATTTTGACTATTATATTGCCATTGTAATTTCTATAGGATTATTCCCGCCAATCCTATGTCCGATTTTGGGGATCGCCCCTACCTTGGCCCTCAGCCCTAGCTTCAACTAATTTTGTGTGTTTTTTCTCCCCCCATTTCACTTTCCTTCTCTTCATTCCCTCCTGTCAACTTCCTATGTGTAGGAACCGTGCTGAAAGGATGAGAGGTTGGCTTTGTGTCATGAACGGCCTTGGGGAGCCATAGATATGGTAGTCCCTTGGTTAATCGCCTACCCCTTGTCCCATATGGGGGCCCATAGGGATAGACCGTTTCCATTTCTCTTACCAGCATAAATTGGACTCACAATATCCAGTAATGAAGATTTTGTACCCTTATTAGGGGCATTCACCAACCAGCATATCTAAATTTACCGTCTCTGGTTTCCCAAAGCAGGCCTCTCCTTTGGTCACGGCTCCGAACGCTGCTATTACTACCACCCTCGGTACTTTCTGAATCATCCAGTCATTATTCAACCTTCAGAATAAACCCCTTTTTTCCCATCCTCCACACTATCCCCTGCACAGTCTTCATTGTCTGTTCCTTTCTCCCCGTATTACTGCTCTTCATCCTAATTGCCCTCCTCCCCACAGTATTGAAACACTCCACTCCATAGAACTCCCTCTTCTTTCCGTCCTAGCCCTTCTACTGCTTCCATCTTTATAAAACCTTTTGAGTACTCTAGCCCAGCTAATTGTGATCGATACTTAGTGGTTCTCCCTACAGCCCCTTGCTCTGACAATACCCTCCCTTTCCAACCATGTCTCCATAAACAAGTTGCTAGTTCCCTTTCGCGGCCGTTCCGATCGTCCACACCTTGTAATAGTTACATCGAAGTCCCAAGCTCGTATATTATGACTGACCTCACTGGCAAATCTATTCCTACCTAATCTCATTCTTCCCTTAATATTTGTACTGTAACGGTTTCCATCTCCCTGCTTTCCTGTTTTTATTATTGACTTTGATTTCAGTATGTACAGTGCCAAGAAATATATTTAAACAAAATAAAAATGGTTCAATTTTATTCTTTTTCCAGGCATGGGTTGTGGGACGGTCCTTTATCCAGAGGGAGCTGCACAGACTGCTGCAACCATGCTGGCCTTGAGTGACCATGTCATTTGGTCCAAAATCCGTGCAAAACAACTGAATCTTTGGGTCACTCTCAAAAAGGCTGATAAGGAGATTTGTCAGACAAATCAAGCCGCAGCGTAACTTTCATTCTTCCGCTACAAAAAAGGTTCCAATTACTCTCCTGTTGCAAAAAACAAATGTAATAGGGTTTATACTCCAATGACAATTATATGTTATATAGACAAAGTTTTTCTCTTATCCTTGTATGTACAAGACTAGTACAACCCTGTGGTTCACAAAATCTAAAATTTATAAACTTGAAACCTGATAATACTAAATTATCAACATCAAACTTAAAAAAAAAATATGTATATTATGTAGTGCCCTTTCCAATGAAATTCTGCAGGAATTTTTCCTCACATTCATAAATGTGAACATGAATATAAGAAAAGGACTACATGAATTGATATGGACGATAAGCACTCAACCACTTCCAAGAATATTTTAATGAAAGTCTGAAGTTGACAATTTTACCTTTTAGCTAATTACCTTTTATGCAAAGTGAATGCTAAGGTTGCTCCTCCTCCATACTATAATTTATGATGCTAACTCTTACTTGTATAGAACAGGTAAATATTCGTTCTTGAAGTATTGCACTATTCTCAATTATCCTACTAACCATCTTCACCATGGTTTAAGTGATACATTGGGTGCTTGTAGAGTCAAAAACTTATCAAAATGGTTCTCAAAAATATAACTACTCATTTTTTAATGGCTCTTTTACCTGTGTCCAAGTCATTTAATTTTTCTGAAAGCTGGTCCCAACCATACATTATTAAGAAGACTGGCAAGAGAATACAAAACAAATTCCTTGAAGACTGAATGTATTAAATGTGGGTTACCTTTTAATTATAAAACAGCAATTAGATTGGTTTATCACTGTTTATTGTTACAGAAGCACATCCTTAGTCTGAGTAAAATCAGTAAACATAACCTCTGAAGAGAGAGAGGGTGAAATTAGATAACTGCACTCTGAAATCATCAAATAAATACCTACGCTCACATTTTTTTCATGTTGCAAAAAAGAAATAAAAGGAAAACAGAACAGAAGGTTACATGTCCAAGAAGGCAGGCATGTACAAAAAATCACTATGCATAGCAATTACGCACATCAACTGAAGACAATGTCAAAAGAAATTATTGCAAAATAAATTTTAAAATCTAGTAACATGTTTTGTCAGAAAGTGACAAAAGGCACACTCTAATAACTCTGAGAATATAAACATCTCCAGACTTACTTGCTACTATCTACATCAACAGAGTGACTGCTCTTAACAATGAGCAATCTTTAAACCAGTTCACAGCACTGAACTGTCACATTGAGAAAACATTAGCAGAGCTTGTAGTTTTCTTTACAGTTTTGACATATTCCAATTCTATCAGTTGCAAGAAACTGCATATAACACATCATATAATGGCCTATCAAAAGAAAATATTGTCAAATAGAATTTATCCATAAAAAATACTTCAAATCAGCTATAATGAAACAACAACGATTCCTCTCAATAATTCAATCCACAGAAAATAAGATTACTCTAAATGCCTGTTATAAAACAACATGAAGAATGAAAAAAATATATATAATTGACTCCTTTAGATATTTTCATCTATGAAACACTTTTCTAACTACAAGCTATTACTTGCATTGCCACAAATTTTTCAAACACATGAAACAATCCATATTGTTCTGGAGTTCCCGAAGTACATTACAGTATTTTTGCACTAATATTCTCCAGTAAATTCTCTTCAAGTATCTCAAAATGTTCTTGAAGGTCTCCGGTTAGATTCTGAGGCAGAGCTCGTAGGCTTCTCTTCTTTAGGTGGTGAACCCCCATCTTTGTTTGACTGCGAGGCTGGAGGATCCTGGAGAGAGAGAGATGGGAAAAAGGTCTTTTGGTTGCTTAGAAAAAAAAAGGTAAGAGGGTCTAAAAAATACTCATAAAATAATTACAAACACTTGCAGCAATAAATGAAATAAACAATTTATTTGTGTACCTAAATAAATGTTAAGATGCCTAACCTGCACAAATTTAGCCAATTCAGCACTGTTACAATCATATGTATAATTTAACTGCTATACAATGAGACAAGAAATATTAGAGAAAAATAATATAAAATGCACAACATTACTTAGAAATCCAGTTGCCATTTTATGATCATCCATTCCTTATAGATCAGTGTAACATAACTCATCATTATTGCCACATTGTTTTACAATCTGAACTGCTTATTGGCTCTCAGGTTATTCCTACAAACATAATTACAACTGGCCCACTAATGATAGGAACCCCCAGCACCATACTAAACCACATGTTGGGGTATGCATGGAGTCAGCCTGTCAGCAGAAACTATTGTTTATGTAATGAAGCTACCAAGAAGCTTTAATTCTCCTTTTAAGGGCCTCAGAGACAGCAGCTAAGCAAGCACACACAGGCTTAGCTCACTCAAGTGAGGGGTAGTCTACGATGACATGATAGGACCTAACTTATGGGTTAACTAGAAATCTACATTATACATTCATTCCGAGCAAGACAGTTGCTAATATCTTTCCCCCTTCTATACCAGGCTATTATTTATATGTACAAGAGCACATACTCTCTGGAGAAACAATCTGTTGAAACAGATAATCACTTGGACCTTGACAATGGGATTCAAAGTTATCCATTTTTCCTGTTAATTTTCCCTGTTCAGAATAGAAGTGTTATATATATATATAGAAAAAAAAAAAAAAATTCGTGACTACCGAAAACTGAATCAACAGGGAGTTTCTATTCTTAAATAAGGCAAGAGCAGCCAATGAATTCTCTAAAAATGATGGCTCTAATGAAATCTTTCCAAATAACTTAAACTACCTGCATTTACAAGCATGTTAATTTTGAATTTGTCATATACTGATTTCCCATTCTAACACTCACCTGGAACAATGAATAAGCATCAATCTTGGGTCAATAATACAGGCTGTGCAGGTAGGAGCTCATCTAAGTGAGACTTACTACATAATAGTAACATAACAGTAAGCATTTTAACCAGCACATAGATAGCAGACTAAAAACTATCCACTATACAAAATCATGTAATAAAATTTTTAAAAACATTCCTTATTGCCAAATCCTAATTTACCAAAGTTAACTGCAACTCGTAATAAACAAAATTAACACAGAAATTTGTATATAATATGTTATTGAAAATAATCTAGTGTAATATGCATGGTCAGCTAACAGCTCACTTCAAAAAAAGTATTTCTATGCTACAGCAACATAACTCGCAAAAAGTAATAACCATCTTCAAATAACCCTTAAAATAAACAAAACAAAAAAAAACATACCTTTTCCTTATCAGCTTCTTTTGGGTCTCTGAGCAGTTTCTGAGCTGGCTTTCTAATAACACGTGGCTTCAGTGCTAGGCGATTAACATGGCTTACATTCTTGGGTTTCTTGATGACCCTGCGAATTGTGGCTGTGCTTCCAGGCTTGCTATTGCCGGTTTCTCCCTCATCACCTTCATCATTGTTCTCACCATCTGCCCGATTACTACTACTGTCCTTGTTAGATCTATTGGTTGTTTTGCTCCCTCCAGGTGCACTGCGTGGGCCTCTTTTTGCCGTCAATCTTCTATATTCTATTGGGGAAAATAAAAGTCAAGAGAAACAAAGGTGAGGAAAGGGACTTTCAACTGCATAAGACCTCATTAAAATAAAGCATTTACTGTTTCTGTCCAAGAGATCTGGAGCAATGATTATGAAAATCAGATTTGAGAACTGCAGAGAATATCAACTGAGTTTGTGCAACCAGAACTTTGGCGAGGCACATGGCGAGGAATATTCAGGCTGTTTTAAAAGAAATATGCATTCATTCTGTAGTACCTAATATTCTGACTGAATTTTTTGTTATGCTGTTCCTAGGACAAGAAGAGTATATGCTGCAGTCCCTAGTGTGCTCTTTGCAAGTCGAGTCATAGGAGTGCTACCTAACCACACAAAAAACAGCCCACTGGTTGACAACAGCACTTCATGTTACTGAGAAACACATGGATGAGAATCCTGCACGAGGTGTATATCTGATTAGAAAAACTGAACTGATATGAAAGGAATATTGCTTGACTAGAGGTATCAGTTGACCACACACCTCGGCAATCAAAAATGTGGTCAGCTTCCTTGGCTTATAAGCCTGGGATCAATGCTAGTCCTAATCTCCAACCAGTCAAGCCATGAAACAGGAATGCATGGCAGCTAACGTCTCCTGCAAGATAAGGCTCTACCCTATTCTCAGAGTTAATAATGAACTCTTGAACTACAGCACACTTTGCATATGAAAGCATCCATCAGTGCTACACTGCCTATAAGACTCTCAATGATTTGCTACGACAGACCACTACACTTTCGTAAACCTTGCAATCATAAGGGAGTTCCAATTACTGCTAACAAGAATGGAGTTGATCTCTGTGGCTGCATTCCCTGCATCCCTATCAAGTCCAGTGATGCAAGTTGAAATGTTGACACCAGAATGTAACCCTTTATTTCTAGGACCCCACAAAGTCTCTAGAAACTCAAGCGGAATTTCTGTTTTTTTCTTTTTGGTTCTTAGACCTGGTTATACAAAGTCAAATCAATTATTATACTCAATTAGGTTATCACAAACAGGTGCTATAACCTTAGCAAGAGACCACAAGGGATAAGTAAATAAATTTCAAAATTGCAAAATATTTACCATTACCTAAAGGGGGGGGGGGGGTGAGAGAGAGAGAGAGAGGCATTGAAAAACATAAATGAACAGATAAATCAGTAAATAAATAATCACATCAACTTACTCTTTAGAATCCTATTTTTCTTTATGGGCAAGGGTCGCCTTCTGGCCTTTCCTCCCCCCAGTCGTTTCTTAGGATCACCTAGCCTTGACCTCTTCACCACTGATGACCTTTCACTTGATCTTGCAGGTCGCTTGGCCAGGAGGCGTGACCTACTTGGGGACAGTGGCCGTTTACTTCCCTCTGACTTCCGAGATTCAATCCAGAGCCTGAGATCATCAGGTCGTCTGAAACAGAAGCTCTAAATCAGATATGTGTAGAGCAGTCGCATATAATTCATATATCTATATCTATCAATATCTATCTATTCATATCTATATCTATCTGCATCTTTTTATATCTATCTATATCTATTTATCTATTTCCATGTATGTCTATTTATCTTTCTATATACATGTCTATTCATCTATCTATATCTATGTCTATTCATCTATCTATATCCATGCCAATTTATCTCTATATATCTATGTATCTACTATTTATCTATAAAATTTGTCAAAAGCCAAACTGTAATTACCTGCTTCTCTTTTTATCTCTTGGGGAAGTTGCTCTTCGTGAAACTCTAGCCCTCAAAACTGGGCTCCTCCTTGTGCTAGCAGGGGATGGCCCAAGCCTATCTTCTATTCGTCTACTTCGGTCACGTTCTCTGCTGCTTTCTCGTCTTCTGTCCTTTGACAGTTCCTGGCGAGCACTGCGACTTGGAGGAGTGCGTGACCGTCTATCACTGCGACCTCTGTCTTTCTCTTGATTTTGACTACTTCCTGAGTGATTGTTATCCTTTGTCCAACTCCTAACATCGCTGCTGCTTCTACAGTCGGAGTTCCTTTCCACAGCTCTCCCTCGCTTCACAGAATCCGAGTCATGGGTTCTCTCTCTTGAGCTAACCCTTCTTTCTGGTTCTTTTCTCCTCTCTCTTTCGCCTGCTCTGCTTCTTTCACTTCCTCTTCTATCAGACAATGGTCTGCTCTCTCTAACAGGACTTCTCGCTGTACTTGAAATTCTTCCTTTACTCTCATATCTGGGAAGGGGGGGAATATATGATTAAATGAAACAAGTGAGTGAGAGAAAAAGAAAATCCCTCAACAAAAATTTATTACAGATAGCATTACTTATGAATAATCACCTGTCATCAATACAAGAAGAGTACAGTACAAGGCACCTGTCTTTTGAGCGGTCATAGCTTCTTTCTCTGCTCCTACAATGTGTGGAAAGATAAGGACTATGGGGTGAGGGTGGTCTCCTTGCAGGCGGTGATGGCGGCCGTCGCGGAGGGGTTGTGCTGGGAAGTGGCGACAGGGATCGGTAGCGGCTCTGGCCTGTTGACGGCAATGGAGGGCTCCGTCTTCCACCTGACCAATACCCTAAGCATAGTGGATTAGTTAGAAAAGGTATTTATGTATAATCAACAATAATGGACATAATGAAGAGGTGAACTAAGGTCCACCAAAGGAAGCAAAGTACACATTTTCTTTAAATTCCAATTCTGAATCCTTTTTAGTTATATTGATCTACGCTTTGGCACTTCCACACCGAAAGCTTTCTTATAATTCCTTTACCAGAATCTGCATCCAGTTCCTACTTTGAGAGGATTAAACTAACCAATCCTTTGATAATATTAACCAAGAGCAAATCCAAATTATAATCCTCCATACAGTCTAGTCTTGCTTCAAATGTAGGCCAACAGAATTTGTTTTTTGGCATACTTAAATTCAAATACAACTCCTAACTACACTGCTGATACTGTGATCAGAATTCCTTTCCAAGCTCTTCCTTGCTTCACAGAATCAACCACGGATTCTCTCTCTCAGAAAAATTGGACAAATCTTCCATACGCCTGCTACTCACTTCGAGGGCTAGTTGTTGAGTATCTTGAGTACTCTCTTGATGAAACGGGCTGCGGGGATGGGGGTGTGGGTGGTCGACCGTGAGGAGACACTTGACCTAGGTTTCGAGGGTACTGACCTGGGGGACCATACACCACACTATCCCCAATAACATACCTAGAAAATCAGTATCATTTTAGAATGTTTTCTAACATGTTTGGGTATCTATCTACATCTACAGCAAGAGAATGTGAAAGCTTGCTTATCTCACTTATAAGTTGCTTTTCATATTTTATATGCTTCTTAATATGTTACCACAATCTTTCAAGGAAAACACCTTTCTGGATAGTATTGAAATCTACTTTTAAAGCTAAACTGCAAACACTTCATTTAATCTTCTCATTACTATTTCAGAATATTAGAATAAAATAACCTCTGTTATACTGAACTTACCTATCGAGATACTGTCTATCTGGAGACCTTGGTGGTGGAGAGTACCTGTCGTAACCATCATAGCTTCCTCCGACACCACCACTGAGAGGTGACCTGCAATACATTTTCCCAATATTTATGGTTATTAAAAAAAAGTTCTAATCTACTCAGAGTCACTGCTAATGACTCCTCATAAAATTTGAAGAAGTTCTTGAGTACTTCTATATACTACAATTACAATAACTGCAAATGCTATATAATTTGACAATTTATATTTTTTTTTTCTTTTTTATCGACTGACTTTATAGACACTGACTACAGCCAAGAATTCTATTCTGATCCCACTAGATATGGGGTTAATTGCAAACAAGTTAACCTTCTCAAAGTTATCATACATAAAATCTCTAGAAAGTTCATGTTTCCTTTCAGTACTTAGCTTCTCCTAACCTTAAGGTCCTAATGGGGCTGTAGTCTCGATACAGCTGCCGATCCTCTTCTGGATAGAGTCTGCTTCTTGTTCCTCCACCTATTTTATGGTCATAGGACAGGCTGCTCCCGCCAGCAGCCTTGTCACTTGCGTAACTCCCACCACCTCTGTGCTTGTCCCCACCATAACTACTGTCACCTCTGCTGTGCTTGTCCCCTCCGTATCCGATGCCCAGTTTGTCCGTCCCGTAGCTTGTTAGGCTTCCTCTTCCTCCATACTTATCCCCACTGTAACTTCCAGCACCCAAAGACTTCTCTGCACCATAATCACCAGCTCTGTGCCTATCACCCCCATAGCTGTCATATGAGTTATAATTGTCATATGAACTCCCCGACCCACCATAGTACGCATCACTCTCATGCTTGGGATATCTACTTGTTTTCTCCGGATAGCTATCATAATCATTTGTGAATTTGCTACTTCTACATTTGCTACTATACTGCTGACTACTGGTTTCTATTCGACACTTTTCTGGGTAACGTCCTTTTTCTGAATATCTCTGGGTGTATAGAGATTTCTCTCCATATCTTTCACTAGAGTAACTTACATCTCTAGATTTGTAAATATCACCATATATGTCATTTTTGCTAATTAGCTTATTTGGCACCTTATCATTAATCTTTCTCACGTCATTTCCTTTATATTTGTCATCCGAGTAAGGCTTGGGCTGGTAAGATGTCTTATACTCTTTATCGTATTTATCGTAAGTATCATCGTAACTCTTGGGCTTGGAGGAGGAGGAGGACGTGGAGGCTGAGGCTGAGGGGCCACGGACAGAGGCCTTACGGGGTCCTGGGGGAGCACCAGGAGGCGTACAGGGCCGGCTGTATCTTTCAGACATCCTGGAGTGGAGGCTTACCTAAGTGGCTGAAAGAGATAACTGTTATAGATCGAAGAATATCTGTAATTCCTTCTTGAAACTCCCTGAAACAATTCCCAAACTCCATTCAACCAAGAGAAGGGAAGAAAATATGAACATTCATGAAAAGGGGCAAATCTGATTCAAAGTGGCACACAGGAGGTCAAGGAAAGTGTAATCATACATTGTAGAAATGCTGAGAAGAGTCAAAAGGCACATCAGTAACAAAAAAATCAGGAAAGTGGGAGACATTGCAGAGATGCTACAAAGAGACAAAAGAAGGCACATCAATAAAAATGCAAGTTTAGGAGAGTCATACTATACTACAAACAGATCTAAGTATGATGAGAGATTAACAAGAACACAATCATGTTTAGAAGTTATGTAATGGAAATTTTCAAAGGTAAATACCACTTCAATCATTGTAAGGCACTTGGCCACATTCTATGCATTGGTTTCCATAATGCATTACCATTTTATAAGGGATTACTGAGATTAACTTTAAAAGCCATCTTACCATCAACTACATAATATTCACAATTATTTCCCCAGCAAATCCACTATCAATCCTTTCTGACCTTAGTTGACGAGCAGGAGGAAGAACCCTTCTCGATTATGTGAATCGTGAGAAAATTACCTCTTTTATGAATCAACCTATAGTGTATAAACAATTGAAAAATGAGGGGGGGGGGGACTACAACAACAACAATGAAAACCAGATGAACCGAAAACAAAGAATGGCCTGTGGAATGAAAGCCCACTTTTCTCAGCAAAGGACAAATGGCTTCATTACTGTCCTTTAATTTTTTCGGGAACTTATCCAAAGCCTCATATCTCGGCAAGGCCATGAAACATAGATGACTTCCATAATATAAGAAGAAGACTTGCCTACAAACACTGGAAGTAACAAGCCATGCATTTGGTAAATTAAGCTTTAGGAGAAATCTGAAAAACAGAATACTAGGGGAGAGTGAGAAAGCTACTGTTGCAGTTCATGGACATTATATATATATACAAATTCAGCTAACAAGCAAAGAAAGAAAGAAAGATAAGGAGGGAGAGAGGGGAAATAGAGGAAGTAATGGAGAGGGAGAGGGAGAGAGAGAGAGAGAGAGAGAGAGAGAGAGATCGTATAACTTCGTATAATGTATGCTATACGAAGTTATTACGAGACTTGCCTACAAACACTGGAAGTAACAAGCCATGCATTTGGTAAATTAAGCTTTAGGAGAAATCTGAAAAACAGAATACTAGGGGAGTGTGAGAAAGCTACTGTTGCAGTTCATGGACATTATATATATATATACAAATTCAGCTAACAAGCAAAGAAAGAAAGAAAGATAAGGAGGGAGAGAGGGGGAATAGAGGAAGTAATGGAGAGGGAGAGGGAGAGGGAGAGGGAGAGGGAGAGAGGGAGAGGGAGAGGGAGAGAGGGAGAGGAGAGGGAGAGAGGGAGAGAGGGAGAAAGGGAGAGAGGGATAAAGGGAGAGAGGGAGAAAGGGAGAGAGGGAGAGAGAATGTAATTACTTTGGAATAAAAAAGCATCAGGGGAAGAAATGAAAAAGAGTTGAGAACAAAGTCATACCCAATAAAGACAATGCGTGGCTATAAACAAAACATACCTAAACACAAGAAAATATAGAACAAGACTCATTAAGAGATGAGAACATTTGTAACTTTTACATATGTACACTTACTTTTGTTCCATGTATAAGGTTATTTCAAGGATCCTGCATACTTCTAACAAAAACCATATTCCATGCTGATACTCAAAAAAATATTTTACAGCAGATAAGGCACTTTGCCAGCATAACCTTTTAAAAATAACTAATTTTCTATTCACATTTCTATATCTGTTAGTGGCATCTGTCAATCACTATATTATAAATTTTATAATGCAAACAATAAAGCCATCACATGCACATACTGTCATTAATATTTGTTGTTTTTCTATCCTTTACAGAGAGAGGTCATGAGTGTTGAATACTTTATAAGGCACGACATGTCTCTCACATGTTTCAATCTTCAGAAATGCAGAGACTAACTGAAATGTGTCAACCATCTAAACCTGTCTGGTTGATGACCAATATCATCCGAACATCTAAGCATTTAGTAAGTGGATGTTGGTCCACTTACGCCATCACAATTGCAAGTTGTCAATGGAGCAGTAATTGTTTACTATATCAAACAGAATTTACATATATAATCTAATCTAACTGTAAACATAGTGATAATAAGCAGATACCTCTAACCATTATTAATATATGTAAATGATCCTTTCCATCTACTCGAAGTAGAAAACTGGAGAATTAATTTTGTTACATTTAATGTCTTACTGCTCCTTTTGCTTTTGTGGATAAAACATTCTAACCCAATCCTTAAATGCATTTTTAGCAAAGCTGAACTATTCCCATGTTTCAAAGGAAACAAGAACAAATCAAATAATTGATCTCCCTGTCTTCCTATATCTATAAAAATGTAATACCCTCCACTAACAAAATGGTATGCTGCAATGCCTGCAAAATAATCATACTTAACACCAGGTACCTATAGAATCTTGCTCTACATTTTACATAAAAGCCTTAATTTTTGTTTCATTTATCAAAAGAATTAGGGTTGGTTTTGCATTATATGCCCCACATATAATCTTGTTTACTCAGCATGGTTCAAAAGATTTTGAGTTATGAACTTAGTTAGCTAATTAACCAATATGAAAAACATTTGCATGCTTACCTCAGTTTGGCAGAATCTTTAGAATATTAATGCTGACCACGAAGAAGCAATCTCCTGCCCAAGTTGGAGACTGATTCCTTTACATCCTGAAAGTGTGTGGCAGAGCTCAGGTCTTGACACACATTAGTGAGGGAGCAGAGCTCATGCCACTCTGAAAGGAACAGGTGTTGCATCAGAACTGGGCCAGTTGGGAATGCAGTCTGGTTGGAGGGTGACGGTCTGTCTTGGATTCAAGCTTCAGAAATCTGGGATCTCTCTCAATGCAACACTGCCTCAGGGGGTCAGGCTGGGCTGGATGGTGTGCTGCCGAAGAGGAGCCCGGATACCCCCGGCTCACAGACCCAGACACCTGAGGCACTTATCCTTTTGTAGCACCTGTTAAGGGCATCAGAAAGTGCACTGAACTTTACCAGCTGGCGTCAGATGCTGGGAGCAGTTGCAGGTAGGGCAACATATCACTAAGTGTGGACCAAATTAGCAATCACCACTCACCATCACTTCACACATCACACTAAAGAGGAATACAAAATACACACTTTCTTTCGAATGAATGGCATTTTACTTTCATATAATATACCAAAAATCACTCCACCGAACTTTCCTCTTCTTAGCAGACGAATATAAAAACACAAAATATATAATACAATAACACTGAACATTGCTTGCTGTGCACCTGCCACCAACAGATTTCCTGCTGTGAGACTCAGGAAGAGAACAGAGGTCAACTAAATAAACAGAACAACTACAAGGAGAGATAAAATAGAAAAAGCTGAAAATAGGGTTAACAAAATTACTCTTCACAAAACACTCAACAAACCTTTTTTTTATTTAATTATCAAAGTAAAAAAAGAGCTCTTAAATTTGGCTCACAAAATGGAGCAAGGGGAAAAAGTCAAAGCAAAATCTGGCCTCTAACAATACAATTGAAAAAAATATAGAATCAAAATAACAATAATAATAATAATAATAATAAAAAAAAACTTGTCAGGGGATCTTCATACCTCTCCTACCTTCAGCATAGCTCTACAATATAATAATTCAAAAAATAAAATCGTATAGAAAAAAAATAAACTAATAAAACTATCAAGTATCCTTGGACGTGCTATTCTCCAATCTGTTCTAAATATGTGGTAGCAAAGTGTCAATCCTGCCTGAGCGAGAGTTTCAAATGTAGTCTTATTCATCCTATGGTTCAAATGGTACATCCCCTAACACCCCCCCTAATCTTAACTATCAATCAAACAGACCTTACATGGTCTGTTGAACCAATTTCTTTGCTTTCCTGGTCTTTTTTTTTCCAGAAAACATGTAAATTAATCTTTTACATAAGAAAATCTAAACCTTTTTTGTTTTGTTTTTTGTTTTTCTTACTGCCCCATGCCTAATTACCGTACTTTAATTGTTTGTAAGGCTCTCTACCAACAGGCCAAATTCCTAAAATGCTAATTTTGCACCAAACTAATGCTCAATATCTGTCAAGTGTTGAACTGTAGCCCTCCACAATTCAAACACAAACACACACACACAATAAATGTGTAATGTAATGACATGTTTTCATGTTTAAGTTCACAGTGGCAAGATTAGATCTTTATGTTTCCTTTGAAAAAATGTAAATCATCACAGTGCAAATAATAATAATTTAATCTATGTAATGGATGTGTTTCCACATCTAAAATCTGCATCTAATATTCTGTAACATGAATAATCCTGACTCCAATTAGTGTTCCCTCATTATCTCATGTAAAGCTGATGGCTGCATCTGCATGGGATATCTCTTTTATATAGCAATATATAAGAGACAATCTTCCAAAATATTATATACATTGGCAGAAAATGGTGCTAAATGATAAAAGGAAAAACAATATAAAACCTCAATATAATTCTTACATCTATCAAATACAATAGTTTCACACAAATCCGAGGGAACATTTCTAAACTTGCCACTTTTGGGGGTGCTGTGAGCATGAATCTCATTATGAATTACTTCATTCACAGCATGCAAGTGCATGAGAGACAGAAACAAGATCAAGAAGAAAGGAGGGATAGAGGGACAGAGAGGAAGAGGGAGGGGAGAGAGAGGGTGAGGGAGGAGTTTTAAGAGGGAGAGGGGGAGGTGGAAGCAAAGGTGAGTGGGAAGGGGTGGGGGAGGGGGGGTGGAAGTGAAGGTGGAGTGGGGAGAGGGTGGGGGAGGGGAGGGGGAGTGGGGAGGTGGAGGTGGAGAAGGAGGGAAAGATAGAGGTGGAGAAGGAGGGAAAGATAGAGGTGAAGAGGGAAAGATAGGGGGAGAAGGAGGAAGATAGAGGGGAGAAGGAGGAGGGAGAGGGGGTGAAGGAGGGAGAGGGAGAGGGGAGAGGAGGGAGAGGGAGAGAAGGAGGGAGAGGGAGAGGAGAAGGAGGGAGAGGGAGAGGGAGAGGGGTGAAGGAGGGAGAGGGAGAGGGGAGAAGGAGGGAGAGGGAGAGGGGAAAGGAGGGAGAGGGAGAGAGAGGAGAGGGAGAGGGGAGAAGGAGGGAGAGGGAAGGGGAGAGGAGAGGGGGAGAAGGAGAGGGGAGAAGGAGGAGAGGGAGAGGGGAGAAGGAGGGAGAGGAGGGGAGAAGGAGGGAGAGGGAGAGGGAGAAGGAGGGAGAGGGAGAGGGGAGCAGAAGGGAAGCAGGAGGAGAGGAGAGGGGGAGCAGAAGGGAAGCAGGAGGAGAGGAAGGAGGGGAGAGGGAGGAGGGGGAGGGAGAGAGGGAGGGGGAGGAGGAGAGGGAGGGAGGGGAGGAGGGAGAGGGAGGAGGGGGAGGGGGGGGGGGAGGGAGAGAGGAGGAGGGGGAGAGGGCGGGAGAGGAGGAGGGAGAGGGAGGAGGGAGAGGGAGGGGAGTAGAGGAGGGGGAGAAGGAGGGAGAGGAAGAGGGAGGGAAGTGGGGGAGGGGGAGTAGGGGAGGGGGAGAAGGAGGGAGAGGGGAGAAGGAGGGAGAGGAGAGTAGGAGAGGGGAAAGGAGGAGGGGAGAAGGAGGGGAGGGGAGAGGGGGGGAGGAGGGGAGAGGGGAGAGGGGAGAGGGAGAGGGGAGGAGGAGAGGAGAGGGGGAGGAGGGAGAGGGAGAGGGGGAGGAGGGAGAGGGAGGAGAGGGGAGGGGAGAGGGAGAGAGAGGGAGGAATAGGAAACTCAAGGATCAATTGAGTCCAAAAGTGTGCAGACAACTAGGGTTGTAGAGTGATGTAATGTGACATGGTTGTAAAAATGTTGTACAGTGCTAAATCCTATCATCTGGATGATGTTATGGTCTTGCCATGAAAAAATCTGGATCAAGGGCCTGGTGATGTGAACATGCTGTCATCGGGCAAAATGGCCGTGGGCTGGGTGACACGAACTTGCCATCATGAGCGAAGGCAAGGGTGATGGGAAAAGACTCGCCATGAGTGCACAAACCTCTTGGAGTGTGCACTCAAAAAAGGCTAAAAAAGTTTACACAAAATAACTTTGCAAAGGAGACGCACAGTCTTGTCAGCACTCATGGGTATTTGTGAGCGCCCGGCCTGTTGGCTACTTACATAACCCACTGCCCGTATTTTTGGTACCATGATTTCCATGATGCAACCAGATCCAACTGGTTAATACCAGTGTATTTATAAAACACACATGCATGTGCATGTATAAATAGGTATAGTTGTATATTTTTGCAATTGCGTTAATAGGGGCATATAGGTAATGTAGTCTATACTTATGAACTACATTCTTAGTTTTTATCATCTGGCATGTAATTCAAACAATTCAATGCCCCAGATCTTAAAAACTGTCCATATATACATATATACACTAATTCTGTGTGTGAGCGTGTGTGGTGTGTAGTGTGAGTGAGTGTGAGTGTGTGTGTATCAAAGACATATTGAAGTTCAACCTTTTAAATTCTTGAACCATAATAATCTAATTACATTTCCCCTGAACTGATGGCCTTATTCCTTACTACAAAAAAATAATTTACTACATAATGGTTCATAAGAAAGTAAGGGTGCAGCATCAAAAAGAAATACTACTAAATAAACAAACTAAAAATTAACAGCCAAATAATAACTCAGAATAAAATCAATAACTTATTTTCAAAATAGAAGAAGAAACGTGAAAAAAAAAAGAAGCAGACAAAGATTATTCGAGTCTAGCGACAAAGATGATGGACGGCCTGTTGGAGAGGTCACCGCTTCTAATTATCACTGACGATAAATCCTGACAGTGCTCTACACAGCTAAACATGCCTACAACACTCACTTTCTGGTTTTCTGGATCCCAAAGGTTACAACTCTTTGGGCAGATCTTTTTTTTTTTCTACAACGTGAGCAATTCAGACCAACTGCAAAAGCAGGCGTGGCAAATTAATATATTTTACAGGCTTTGGCAAAGAAACTTGGATCACAGCAGATGAATAATCACTTACACCTGAAGCTCAGATGGGTACCTCTTGCAGTTGTTGACGAGAGCCACCGCTCAGTACTGCCTAAAATCGCATTGCATCCGAGATGATCAGCGGCAACATGTTTCTTGAGTGCAAGCCAAATCAGGTACATCCTACATGTCTTCCAGCTTTCTCCACCCTCTTTATCATAACCATGGAACAATGAAGCACTATACAGTTATTGTTACTGTATCATGCTGGGTTTCAACTTTCCAAAGGTATTTCTAGATCTTGCTCAATCTAAAATACCTTTTTTTAGAATTCCTGAGCATTTCTTCCCCGCCACAACAGGAAAAACATGTGAAGTGGCAGTAGATGTGACAATGCTTAGCTACTTCCCATACCATAACACAGGCCAGGTTTTCTTAGAGCCACAAGTGGTATGAAAAGCATCAGAATTCAGTAGAAAGTTTTAATTCATTCACTATTACCATGGTCTTCATGAACATTTCATCTAAGTGCAGTACCAAACTTCAGTCATTTGGCATCCTGGAAGCATGTAGGACAATGTGGACACCTGAGTGCAGGACTTGTGATGCATTAAACTTGGTCAGCAATGCTCAGGTGTTGTTGTCTTTATCTGCACTGGAAAGGGCAATAGGACCTAACAGATCCAATGCCTCGTAGTACTTCACTGTGCAATGTTTGTTTTCTTTTGTCTATCTTGACTCTATAAACAATTGAATTCTTGATAAAAAGACAACTTTCATTAAGTCTTCACTTCGAAATTTTAATTAAAATCTGATCAGCTGAGACTAGTTAAGTTCACTCTTTCCTTGATGGTAGTTGTAGCTCCCGATACTTGAAGATTCTGATTACCTTCAGTCATCACAGCATGAAGACGAAGATGGTCACACCTGTAGGCTAATATGGTCTACCCAACATACAGGCAGGCAGCCTGCCAAGTCTGAAGGCAGAGACAGTTGGGAGACCATACTGATGGTCCAGGACTGGAGAACAAGGTGATCTGTCAAGCCTGGAGGCCTAAGCAATCTGCTAAGCCTAGAGACCAAGGAGAAATGACAAGCTTGGAGTCCAAGATGATCTGCTAACCCTGGAGAACAATGATCTGCCACGCTGCACTGCCAAGCCTGGAGGCCAAGTGGATCTGCCAAGCCTAGGTGCTGAGGAAATGCACCATACTTGGGAGCAGCCGTCTCCTGGTGAACCAAGATGTGAAGCCATTGGCAGTAAGGGGAAGGTTGTGGTGTAGGATGCAGGTGGCTGGATCTCTCTCCCCATGTAGCCCTGAGATGCTGTGTTCCCTGAGAGAAGTTGGTGAGAAGAGGGCCGTGTTTGGGATGAGCTGGGAAGATAGTAGGCCATGTATCAGGTAACCCAAGTGAGCCCCAAGCCAGGCAACCACCCTAGGTTCCACCACCTCAGGTGTCCCTTCAGGCACACAGCTATGGGGGTAACACTTGCCACACCACTGTGGGGCCAACCCTTCCCTGCCGTCCTTGACGGCTGACAGGCTTTGGGGGCACAGCCACATCATATAAGATGGGCAATTGGGCATGGCTGGCCACATGGCAACCTCCTGGGAATAGAATAGTTAATTAATCTTGTGAACATGCCTTTAATTCCAGACAAAATAAAGCCCTTTTCAGCCATGGTAAACGAAATGTCACCTTTTGAATATATATATACATATAATGAATACTATATATGCATATATATATATATATATATTATATATATATGTAGAGATAATCAAATTTCATCAAAGAATATTATATACAAATAAAAGTAAACGCGCGACTTTTTCCCGATACAAAAATAAAATGTAATTGACAACAAAACAACTGAAGCACAGTCTTGCTAGCCTTCCATTCAACTACATTTATTCTCCATATCTACGAGGACCATCTGTATATACATTTTTTTTTTTTTTTTTTAATGCTCATTTCCATTGGAATATCATGATTCAGCAGTCATGTGACATCATATCATTACAGTTTTTATGCACTGATTGCCGCACTGTTTTTCAAAATTTACAAAAATTCAAAACTTGCCTTATTATGGCATTACCGTCCTGTCAAAGAAAAATCTAGCTTGTGGGCTGGAGGCATCAGACAAACTGGTTGTGAGCTAGGTGACGTGAACTTGCAGTCATGAGCAAAGGCTAGGGTGACGGAAAAGACTTGCCACGAGTGCAAAACCTCTTGGGTGTGGAATTAAACTCCTTTGGCGTTAGAAGGGGGCTTTAGCATTATTCCAATCGATAAACGAATGTGAAATGTAAAGTGCGTGTGCCGGAGTGGGAGGAGAACTGGCTCCAGGGAGGATGCCATTTCCTTGCTACACACTGTATTCCTGGCTGCTGTGACCGGTGGTACAGGTTGTATTAATGGAAAATTGAAAATTACAAATAAATAAGACATGACAAATATAACCAAATATTCCATATTTTTCTTCTTGCATTGAGTTATTTACTACACAGAGAGATGATATGGAGTCTGTGAAAGGAAAATAAGCTATAACCATCTGAATGAAGCAAATCAAAAGACAAATATGGATGTTGGAGAATGGATTATCATTATTTTTTTTTATCATTTTTATTTTTTTATTTATTATATTTTTTTTAAGTTTACACAAAATAACTTAGCAACGGGGAGGCACAGTCTTGTCTGTCACCACTCGCGGGTGTTTGCGCACCGCCCGGCCTACACACCGCACATCCAGTATGTTGGCTACATACGTAACCCACTGCCCGTATTTTCGGCATCGTGATTTCCATAACGCAATTGGATCCAACACGTTAACAGGGTTTTTATGCATGTTCAGACTTATGGGGGAGGTCACTATTTCATTTTTATTTGGGGCAACTCCTCCTAACGGCTATTCAAAACGGCAGCTATCTCTTTTGGTTCAAAAGTCACAATTTTTCCCATACTTCAGCCAGACAGTGTCCTTGAAGAATTGAAAAGAAAGGGATCAAAACAGAAATGGGAAGAGCAAAAGTCATGTGAAAGGCTAGGAGATAGAAGAGAGGATGAGAGCGAGATAAAATAAAGATGAGAAAAAGGGGGAAATTCTTTGAATGAGAAGATTGGTTGAGAAACTGAGAAAATGTCTGACTGTTTGTGCATGTGCAAAAGTCTGCATATATGATGCATGTAACTGAGTAAATGAGAAAAAGAGGGGGGAAGGGAAGGGAAGGGAGGAGGGAGGGAGGGAGGGAGGGAGGGAGAGGGAGGGAGGGAGAGAGAGAGAGAGAGAGAGAGAGAGAGAGAGAGAGAGAGAGAGAGAGAGAGAGAGAGAGAGAGAGAGAGAGAGAGAGAGAGAGAAAAACATGTACATGTGGCACACGCCATGAAACAAGTGCACGTCATTTACTCTTACGCTTTCATTCACGCCTGATAAACCTTTGTATATTTTGTACTAGTAACAGGGAAAAGGGCTATATTTTGCTGCTTAGTCTACACCTTCCGGAGGCTAAGATTTCAACTTACCAGAAACAGCATCTGTAAGAGTAGTTATATTATTGTATGTTGATCGTTTCTAGAAATTATAAGGATGTAAAATAAAGAAGAATAAAGAATATCACATGTTCTTTTTTCTAGTTTCTATTTTTACCTACCTTCTTGCCTAATCCATTAATTTTTTTCCCATTCAAATGATTTTTGAGTTTTGGATTACCAATTATAAACCAAATCCATGAATATTAATCAGATATTGTACAGATTCTCTTCAAATCAAAACAGACAAGTTTTTGTACTGATTAGCTTACTCTAATATACATAATTTCATTAACTGGTGTATATATATAGAAAAGTAAATAAAATGTGTAAATAATGGTTACAGGGATGCAGTCGGAGGGAAAGACAGAGGGAAATGGAAAAAGTGAGAGAAAGAGCAAGGGTGAAAAGGAATAGAGAAAAGGAATGAATGAAAGAACAAGGAAAGAATAAAAGAGAAGCGGAAGGAAAAATATGTAACACAAGGTATAACTAATTGACCTGTCTCGTCTTTCTGCATATCCATAACTGTGCTCCTTCAACACAATGGATTGAAACTAAACAAATAAAGGGGGGGGGGAGAAAAAAAATCTAACCAAAGTAAATAACACATGATCTGTTTGTAGGGAACTATGTTAACCTTTATCATTATATCCACTTGCATTTTCACTAAATCCTCAAATTAAGAGAGCGACTTCTACTCATCCTATCATTACCTTCTTGAGTAAGTGGTGTGCCGATATCCAGCTGGCCGCAGAGGTCTCACTCTGAAAAGGACAGAAGCAAGTCTCAGGGGTCATCCGTTAAGTTCCTGAAATGCTGTTTATCTCACCTCTTTTCTCTCTCTCTCTCTCTCTCTCTCTCCCACTTAATTTTTAGAAAGATTCTCTTAATTTTTTCTATTTCTCTTAGTATCTTGGTTGTCAATAATATCATTAATATTAATAGTATTGGAGGAAAAAAAAAATTCAAGGAAAGGTGAAATCAAGAGAGGTCACATTGGACCTACTAAATTACTCCTTGGTGAACACAAGAGGTATCCATGTTCAAACAAAAATTCAGAAAACAGAACTACAAATGACACACATATACCTGGCAGCAATAGATCACCGAAAGTTAAACATAACATGTAATAACATCATACATTACAAGTCCGAAGTCGAGATACCCGAGTCTATTGTAGCACAGTGTATAACCGACAATTCTACAAGCTAAACTAAACCGCATGAAGTAGTGTCAAACATCTCTCTGCCAGAGAAGCTCCACATACACCAAGGTTCCGCCAGGTATTCACATCGAGTGACTATCCTGAAGGCCTTCTTATGCCACTGCTCCATTCTGCCTCCAGCAGTACACGCGACAGGCCTCGGATCTTCCATTACAGCAAGAATAAAAGGTATGCATAACAATGTGAATTTGATATAATGCGAGCAAATGAGTCAGTGCCGCAAGAAAAATAAAATCTACTTGGACGGACACTTGGAAATGAAAAGGTTAAGAATTAAGTATTGTCCTCCAATCATGGTTTTGGGCAGAATAGAGGCCGTGTCCTTGAAGAACTGAACAATAACAAATGTGTTATAGGCCTGTTCATGAGCACTCAGTCCACCCCTGAATAAAGACACACAACTCAACTCTAAAACACAAACACACATTAAAAAGTATACATATACTCAGAATAAACATTCCTCTCATCATAAACTACGAAGCCTTGCTATCTCTTAAACTCTTTCGGTTTTTCTATAGAATTCGTTTCCATCAATTTTTGCATAATGTAGCCACGGGTTTTGACGAGACCGAGACACAGATTTTGCTTTTGCCCTTAAATGAAGGCTGGCTTGAAGCTCCTCTACGTACCCACGTGTCAGAGAGGACTTCAAATCATAATAAACCATATTTATTTTCCCTTTCGAACTCTAAGGAAATCGTTGTTGGAAAAAAAAAGATTTACGGGAGCCAAGTGTGGTCCGGTATCGTCCCGCCTCTTCGCCCGTTTCCTCTCTTCCCACCTTTCACTCGCGTGATTTCTCCTTCCTCTGCATTTCCCGGTAATGGCCGATGTCCGAGAGAACCGGACAATTGCCATCGGTCATGAAATCAAGAAGGAAAAGAGGTTGTTATTGAC